GGTGTTCGACACACAAATGCGGACGCGCTGTCTCGCCTGCCACCCGCCTCAGATTGCGCTTGTCTCTTGGGATTGGAGCGTTGTAAGCCGCCGGATGACAGCCCCGCTTTAAATGTTCTGTACTCTTTGGTTCTATTGGGTAAAGTCACGTAGGTGAAAATAAAATAACAAAAAATCACAACGTTTCGGCCACAACACAAGCGGCCTTCATCAGGTGAAGGGACGAGACTGTCTGGAGGACAGCGCTGGAGTGGAAGAAGCCACGCTTAGATCACGACCTTTAAGCTGTGTGAGAAGAAAAAGACCACGCGCCTTGACAAAGGAATTAGCATATAATTTAGCATTGAAATGGCTCATTGAAATAGCTAAGTTAAAGTATACACATCCGCAGAGGTACCCCTTGACAAAGGAATTAGCGCTGGAGTGGAAGAAGCCACTCTTAGATCACGACCTTTAAGCTGTGTGAGAAGAAAAAGGCCAAGTGCCTTGACAAAGGAATTAGCATATAATTTAGCATTGAAATGGCTCATTGAAATAGCTAAGTTAAAGTATACACATCCGCAGAGGTACCCCTTGACAAAGGAATTAGCATCGAATTTAGCATTGAAATAGCTGAGTGATTAGCTTGTAACTGGTCACAGAAATAGCTATGTTAAAGTTAGAGCATATACATTCACCGAGGCACCTAGTACTCATCAAACAGGAGAATTTAGCGAAACACAACCATGCTCAGACATCGGACCTGTGTGCGAGCAAACAAGGTGTTCTGACAAAGAAATTAGCATAAGAATTAGCATTTGATTGGCGGATTTTAGGAAAGAGGTGGTGTACGTGCCGGTGGACTCGCAATTTGGCGCGGGGGGAGGGGGGGGAAAGGGGGGAGGGGGGAGTTTACCTATTGATGGTGTGAAAAGGGGGAATTTATAAGAGCTGCGAAAGTTTGGGGTACCACTACTTGAAAAATATACTGTACCATTGAAATTAGTTTAATGTTTAGTTCGATTTAGAACATCTTTCCAATGGTTGCTTAATTTGAAACCATCTTCTCGGTTGAAATTGTGTCTGTGTTTGTAGATCTGAATTGCCTCGTGAACAAATCTCTGATAAAAACCCGTGGGTTTGCAAAGAACCTTGGTATCGGAGAAAATTATATCGTGATCCCCCACAGCGTTGTAACAGTGATCAGCCACGGCAGAAGAATTCGTTTTGCCGTGTTTCAAATCTGATTTGTGCTCGCGAATTCGGTTATTTTCACCTACGTGACTTTACCCAATAGAACCAAAGAGTATGGATCCTAGCAGTCACGAAAGCTTTAAATCTAGAATTAAATGTTCTGATTCTTGCTGCCGCCACCAAGGACCTTTTGTCTGGGGGTCCTATCAAGCATGGGGGAGAGGACTCCTTGCTGGGATTGTCTGTTACGGAATGGGGACGCCTTCAGATGGAGGACGCATGCGTCGTCGCACACGGGGTTCCAGGGGCTCCTTATGCATTGGGATGGGAAGGCCCGCCGTCACAGGCTGGTGGTGCCTTCTGCTCTGCGGCGTAAGGCCGTGTGGGCTGCTCACAAGCGGCTTTTGCACCTAGGGACCCACAAGATCCTTGCCATGCTCCAGCTAGATTTATCCTGGCCGGGCATGGCAAGGGATGTGGATAACCTTCTGGGTGCATGTACTCAGTGCGCCCAACAGAAGCCACCAGTGAAGGGCGCCTGTCCGCCGATACAATCTATTACGGTCTCTTGGGTTAATGAGCTCGTCGCGCTTGATATATTGGGGCCTTTCCCTGCGACCCCTAGGGGTAATAAGTACCTGCTGGTTGGCGTGGAATACTTTACTCGATGGCCTATGGCGTGGCCCCTCGCAAACCAGTCAGCAGCAGCCGTCGCCGAGGCCTTTGTCCAGGGCTATGTCCTCGACAAACGTGCTCCTGAACGGCTACTGACTGACCAAGGGAAGAACTTCTCTGGCGTCCTTCTGCACGAGGTGTGTGCGCTCCTCGGTACAAAAAAAATCCTTACTGCCCCCTATCACCCACAAACGGATGGAATGGTGGAACGCCTTCATAGGACCCTCACGTCCATGTTGTGTCACCAAGTGTGTGACTCCCAGACCGAATGGTACCTTCAGATCCCGGGGGTTTTGGCTGCCTACAGAATGGCTCCTCACGCGGCAACCCGATTATCGCAGTTCTTTCTAATGTACGGCCGCGATGTTGATCCACCTATTGAGACTCAGTTGCGGGTCTCCAAACCAAACGAAAAATCGAAATTGGCCGACCATGTCAAATTTAATATCCTGAGATTGACCAAGGTGCGAGACGCAGCCGCCCAAAACTCGAATTCCCGACAGAAGGCTAACGAGCTAACGAGAAGTTGCAATCGCGCCAGTCACGCACACATGCATGGAGCCTGGATGACAGAGCCTGACTGCACTGCCCTCAAGTACCGTTGGCAACCTCGTCGAAATTGTTGCGGCCATGGAGGGGTCCCGTGGAAATTGTGCAGGTCATGCGGCCACAGTGTATTCGTATTCAGTGGGGGAAACGTCGCTGGTATGTACACCCCTCGCGCCTGAAGCCATTTGTGGCACCACGTGTTCCTCCACCACATTACACAGGCCGAGCATGTGATGTGTCCGCAGACTCCCGGATGGCGACTTCGCCGCCTACCCCTGATCTGTCACTAACTGTTCCATCTTCAGGTGCCTCGAGAATGACGCCCTCCCGGCCGCCTGCGCCACCCGGCGGGGAGGGCGATTGTCCTCCCAGGATGCCGGAGGGTTGCGCACCCGAACGGACAGCGCCCACCACCGGCCCGACCGGCTTTGCCCCTTACGATGGCCCCGCAAAACAGGCTCGCGCCAAAACGTGCCGGTTTTTGTAATGTTGCCTTCTTGTTGCACTTGTTCTGTTCACACTATCTACTCACCTGTTATGGCTCCTTTTGCTGGGCTAACGGGTGATTCCAGTCGCAAGCGGGGGGGGGGGGGGAATGTATATGCTGTATATAGTGTGTATGTGTATAGGTGGGTTGGGTTATTTATTGGGGCGTTCGGTTGTTATGAGGCACACACTGTTCAGGGTTTTTCTTGCATTGTTTATTGTTCAATATTGTTGCAGCCGGGACGGCTGCGGGCAGTACAGGAGGGGGTGATGTAGGGGTGTTGCGGGAAGGGAACACACAGTCACATCATGGTGGCTACAACCACGTCCACTATAGCCTCGCACTCAGTGGTGTATGGGTATAGAGGGCAGGGAGCCAGAGAGCTCGGGGCAGTGTGTTGGTGCCGAGTGAAGAACCAGTGAAGAAGGAAAGCCGGCGAGATAGACCCTGGGACTCCCCTGACCGCTGCCCTTTTGGGGGCCGGCAGGGTAAGCCAGTGGTGCGGCCCCAGAGCCTTAGAGCTGGAGCCCTTTTAAGGGTCGGTCTGGTTGGTGGGGTGCCGTGACCTGTGCCATGACCAGGGCCAGGTCAGATAGCCTCCTCTAGTGTCTGTAGCAGACGGAACTGGGAGCACAAGAATTAGGCTAGATAGCCTAGGGGGTGTCCCAACGTGTATACGGGTGAAGGGGCCGTTACCCCTTCCAATGTAACCCTTGCCAAGCTTGAATAAAGTGCTGCCTCTATTACACCGTCTCCGTGTCCCGTGAACCCACTAGAACTGTATTTGTAATACAGTACTGCACTACTGTACACTGTAATCTAAACAGCACCATTGATTCTCTACAATAAACTTAGAATGCTATCCAAATGACTTGTGAGTACCTCTGTAAAAGAGTTAATTATTTTGAATATCATAGTTAAAATGTATGCCTAATTTCTTCGTTGAAAAATGTTTTTATCCTTGAGAAATTTGCTGAAACGTTAAGTATACCTTTCAGATAACCGGCAAATTTGATGAACTGGCACCCTCGATTCTCCATGGATGCTGGATAAGAGCTTTTGCTGTATATGCTCTAAATCAGATACGTGTTAAAATTATAACTCTAAATTATCAAGAGACACATCGCCAACATTGAACTATTGCATTGAAATATACTGCATCACATTACAGCACATTTACTGTACACTGTTCTCTGAATGGATGCCTACACCTGCATGCATTCGTAGAATGCGAGAAGCCAAGTGATAGCACGGTTGATATTTGTTTCAAGAGGTTCACAGTTCATATCTGTCCGGCAGCCCTCATGATTACTGCAGCAATATTGACCAAAATTATGCACCATCTGCTTAACAGTGGATGTTCAACATTCATGGTGTCAGGGTCAAAATTTGTCAGATTCGAAAGATTAGTCACAAATTACCCAACTGGGGTTACGCATCAATCATCGCTCCACCCTACTGGCAGACTCATGTCCACGTGCAGGTCGGTACTGAGTTGCTTGGCTCTCCAACACACCGGTGTGCTGTACTAGTGACAAATTGGCATGTTCTGTTTACGTGACAACCCTTACTAGTTGGCTGTGTCGGGTGGTGGTGGGTATTAACGATAAATTTATATATTTACGCGATCTAACCCAACAAAAACTCTATTATGAGAAAGGCCTGTGAATGGAATGGAACTTCGTTATCCTAAGCTCAATGATAAACATCTACTTGGTCTCCATTTGACTCAGTATTGCCTAAAAAATCCACCCACACCTCCACATCCACAAATTGCTGGGCGTTGCCTCGCTCTGCCTCAGAGTCCACAGTCTCCTCCAGCTTAACGCTGCCTCGATCGACGTGAAGGTCGGATTTTGGAGTTGAATCTTCATCCTCACATTTCACTATCACTTCACTCTTTACCGTCACTTCTTCACTTTTGACCTTCACCGACTCAAATTTCATTTTCACTTCTTGACATTTCGCCTTCACTCCTGGCCACGTTTCATATCTCAAATGTTTTTCTAGTTCTTGTTTCATGAGGGATGGACTCATTGCAGCACTTGGACTTTCACAAGCCGATTTCAGATTAATTTCCTGATGAATGGTTTGATGCTTGTTTCGATCACGTAACTGTCGAAAACCCTTCCCATATACAGTGCACTTTAAGGGTTCTTCTCCTGCGTGTGTTTGCTGGTGTTTTTTAAGACATGATGACCGTGAAAATTCTTTCTCACATGCAGTGCACTTGAATGGTTTATCTCTTGTGTGTGTTCTCTGGTGTCTTTTAAGATGTGATGACTGTGCAAATGCCTTCCCACACACAGTGCACTTGAAGCGTGTTTCTCCTGTGTGTATTCTCTGGTGTGTTTTAAGATATGATGAACGTGCAAACGCCTTCCCACACACAGTGCACTTGAAGGGCGTTTCTCCTGTGTGTATTCTCTGGTGTGTATTAAGATTTGATGAACGTGCAAACGCCTTCCCACACACAGCGCACTTGAAGGGCGTTTCTCCTGTGTGTATTCTCTGGTGAGTTTTAAGATGTGATGAATGTGCAAATGCCTTCCTACACAGAGTGCACTTGAAGGGTCTTTCTCCTGTGTGTATTCTCTGGTGTGTTTTAAGATGTGATGAACGTGCAAACACCTTCCCACACACAGTGCACTTGAAGGGTCTTTCTCCTGTGTGTATTATCTGGTGTATTTTAAGAAGTGATGAATGTGCAAATGCCTTCCCACACACAGTGCACTTGATGGGTGTGTCTTCTGTGTGTATTCTCTGGTGTCTTTTAAGATTTGATGACTGTGTAAAGGTCTTAACACACACAGTGCACTTGAAGGGTGTTTCTCCTGTGTGACTTCTGTGGTGTATTTTAAGATGCGATGACATTGCAAATGCCTTCCCACACACAGTGCACTTGAAGGGCGTTTCTCCTGTGTGTATTCTCTGGTGTCTTTTAAGATTTGATGACTGTGCAAAGACCTTCACACACACAGTGCACTTGAAGGATATTTCTCCTGTGTGTATTCTCTGGTGTGTTTTGAGATGTGATGACATTGCAAATGCCTTCCCACACACAGTGCACTTGAAGGGTTTCTCTCCCGTGTGTGTTCTCTGGTGGGCCTGAAAAATTGATGGATGTGCAAACGCCTTCCCACACACAGTACACTTGAAGGGTGTTTCTCCTGTGTGTATTCTCTGGTGTGTTTTAAGATGTGATGACCATGCAAACGCCTTCCCACACACAGTGCACTTGAAGGGTTTCTCTCCCGTGTGTGTTCTCTGGTGGCCCTGAAGAATTGATGACCATGCAAACGCCTTCCCACACAGAGTGCACTTGAAGGGTGTTTCTCCTGTGTGTATTCTCTGGTGTCTTTTAAGATGTGATGACCATGCAAACGCCTTCCCACACACAGTGCACTTGAAGGGTTTCTCTCCCGTGTGTGTTCTCTGGTGGCCCTGAAGAATTGCTGACCATGCAAATGCCTTCCCACACACAGTGCACTTGAAGGGTTTCTCTCCTGTATGTCTTCTCTGGTGGGCCTGAAGAAGTGATGAATGTGCAAACGCCTTCCCACACACAGTGCACTTGAATGGTTTCTCTCCTGCTGATTGTCTTCGCTCCATCTGACCAATTCTGTACAGCAAAGTGACAGAGTAACTGCCAGCTGCAGACAGAAAACAGTAATATCCACACAATGTAAGTCAGCATAGAAATATATATACAGTCACACGTGAAATTCACATAATACATAGACAAGAACACTCAAACATTCATGAGAAATAAAACAAATTCACCCCCAATGCAACAGAGGCTGTTTTAAGGCACTTGCTACTATTGACAATTAGCTCTTGGACTGGCATAGCAGGCAAGTGGTCAGTATAATGCCTGGAGGCCCTAGTATATTTAATATCAATGACAACCAATAACTCTACATACAGAATTTCGGTTGTATATGGCTATTGAATAAATGCTCATTATTGCTAAAGTCTGCTAAAAAAGCCAATGGTGTTAAAAATAAAAATATTCGCATTGGGCAGATATATGATAAAATGGACAAATTAATATTCAATCGCAATTTGTAAGTCTGAAGCCAGGCTCAGATTTGCTTGAATGCTCGGAGGGACAGATGAAATTTCAGCTTCATGTGCTGTCTTTTCCATGCTTATGAAACGTTCCATGTGTAGGGGGGTTCTAGAAGGCGTGCGTTGTGATGATTGTAAACAGGTGACCGGAAGGCACTGTAAGAAAATTCAATTAAGGACACACATGTTATAAAGTGTGGGGGGGGTGGGGGCACTGTCCGATAGGGGTGGGGCCGAGTGAGTATATAATGGGGAGCGAGGCCCGTGGTCGGGGAGCTTACTCGGGGACTAATTGACAACCAGAGGTGGACGACGTTGGGGCCGACTGTGGAAACCATCGGGGTTGACTGTTCAGGTATCAACTTGGTGGAAACCGTCGGGGCTGAAGATAGCCATAGCAATTACGAGTGTGGCAGTCGTTACACTTGGACTGTATATACATTCGGAGAAATAAAGCTCTACTCCCCTGAAAATGGATGTCTGCAAGGAGCTTCTTTACACCTGTAATAAAAAACCCCTATTGCTTTGATTAAACCTAGGTGTTTAATATGGTCAATATACTCTAAAGCAAAAATAAAAACTTTACACTTTCAAGCATTGGAACGGTGAAGAAGGTGGTGTTGTGGCTAGAACCATGCCTGGCTAGATGCTTATACTCTTCACCAAGTACTTAACCTAGAAAAAATCAACCCAGCAGAGGCCTACAATAAGTTAAGCTATCATTTGTCAATCATGTCTGCTGTCAGCAATAATACAACTCTGAATGTTGGCTCCATAATGCAGTGGACGAACAAATGTGCCTCCGCTTCCCATATAGATACACTCTTACGTACAGATGTGTTTCACATGGATCATTAACAGATTATATCAAGAAAACAGCCACCATTCACCACAAATTGGCAGTAATATCATGACAGTGTTCATGCCATGATTGGTGTGCATTGAAGCCATGTAAGTGTGGAGCACTTGCCAGTAGGTCATGGGAATGATCCAGGTGTCAAGGGATGACTGAGATGACTGGCAGATGCACCACCTGTGCTACCCACTGTGCTTACTTGCTGCATTTTAGCCACCCAGTGCTCCACCCATTGATGTGTCACTCCTTTGACCTCGTTGTTGCAGGACGAATGCCTCCAACTATCCTGCAGCATCCTTCAAGGGCCTCCATCAGAGGCCGATCTTCACACTCCTGGTACCAGTCATCAGCAAGTCCGATCACCTCCACATCTTCCAATATCTTCTCTAGTCCATGCCATACTCGTTTAGTCCCTTGTATCCGAACTAACATACGCTGCTTGAGCATGCAGTTTCTGAGCATGCGGGATTCATGACCAATGAATGCAGCCTCGCCTGCCAAATAGGCTCATTGATTATATTCTGTATGGATATCTCAGGGATTTGTCAGCTTCGAAAACCATCAAGTCTGGCTCAATATAGGATGAATCATAGGCAGGCCAGCCTTAATTGTATAAGCCAGCACAGATGGTTCTTTAAAGGAGTCCATATTTCACATCCACAGAGAAAGGGGTCATAGCTGTGGGCAAGAAGATTCAGTGATTTGTATGGAGCAACGGTCCAGGCTGCTTCCTCACCATGTTATACAGTCTAATTAAAGAATGCTGCTCGACTAATTTGAATTGAGACTTTAGCTGCCAAACCAGAGCTGGTCCGTGAACACATTAACCAAGTATGGGAGCTCCTCCACCACCTCTAGAACTGCCTGATTACTCATTAAGAGGTGACCAGGCAGAATGTTGGATGACATGAAATACCCAAGCAGGTGCTTTATTTTTTTGGAAGATATGTAAGGCTCCTCCTCATGATGAAATTCTCCAGGTAGAGAACAAGAGTCCCTAACTCAATCGCATTGGGTAGCCATTACCAGATCATCAGCATACATAACATGTTCTTTGGTTCTTTCGGTAAAGTCACGTAGAATGAGAATAAAATAATAAATTGATAAAATAAAATAACACAATAATAATTTATTTTATCAATTTATTATTTTATTCTCATTCTACGTGACTTTACCGAAAGAACCAAAGAAGATGAATCATTGCAGTCACGAAAGCTTTAAATCGAAAAATACATAACATGGTTGACCAGCAGGCAACGATCCCTTAACTATAACCAGCCATCGATTAGCTCTCTCATTGTAACTGTACCAAATGCATTTTTGTAGGCCCATTGTGAGGTTATCAAAACTATGTAAATATTGAAGATGCTATCTTCATGTACAACACAGTCCACGGGTCATGGAAGGGTGAGGTTCCCGGGAACAATCCGTAACCCAATTTTCCGATGTCGGAAACTGAACAATTTTCCCCCAAAATCAAGACGAAATTCCATAGCTGGAAATAGTTGTGCCGCCGTATCCGATTACTCGTTCATTTTTCTCTCAGTACTGTATCGCGCTATAGTCCGTTTTCTATTGCGACCTGTATCGTATTGCTGTACATACGTTCTGCACTTCATATGATTCTTTCATTTCATCGAATATCTACCCTAACACTACCCATAATTAAACAAATTGAAAAAAAAGTATCCAAATATTTATGAACACCATGAGACATTCTAATATTAATTGTTAAAAGAAAACAGTCACATCCGAATATTCATTTACCGGGCATAGACTAGGCCGAGACCTCTCCGATCGCTGTTGGCTGATACCATAAGCAATCGAAGTGTAATTGTGTTAAATATAGTACATAACGTAAATAACTCATGAAATAAACTTCAAATCAAAACTATAAAGAGAAACATGGGAAAAACAAGATAGTTCTAAGCACAGAAAACCAAAATTACATAATGCTCCAAAAGAAAAATTAGGCAATGCTACAAAACAATTCCATTGACCTAAATCTTTTCCAGTCATTATTGCAATGCAATTAAGGGTGATATTACACTGAAAGTTACGAGACGATGAGGCGGGTATAGTATACGCACGGGAACAATGTAACAGCATGACTGAGAGTGCAGAGCAGCTATACACCACCGCTTTGGGGAAGATGCTGCCTGCCTTATGCCTCGCTCCGCGGTATTCATCCACAACCTCACCACGCTGGACTACTTGCGTAAGTCGGGTCTTCCGCTACCCGGGGACTTACCATAATGTATGTGGCCAGAGGGAATTCCTGTCACACGCCAACTTGAACAGGAAACGGCTCCGAATCCTTGTCACGCACCATTTGCCGGGCCTGCCCAAATCATAAAAATCCTTAACGAATGTGAGCAGAGGGGCAGGGATATCGATAACAATGAACAACCAAAAGCTGAAGCCTCTTCATGGTACTTAGGCCTTGATAACATCAAAAAACGTGCCAAGAAAGTCAAAACGGCGATATTCAATACTTAAGCGTTACCGAAACAAAGGGGTTAGGTAAACGGCAACCAAAAATACGCATCACAATTGGAATAAGTACTGTACAGCATGCCAACTAAACTAAAAACAAAACAATTGAAATAAACAAGTAGAAACTCTATAGAAAAAAAACATTCCAAGATAATAAATAGGATTCTAAATACTGACTACTCTGCTTAGAATGATGACGATGTGTGTGCGTGAGTGGAGAGTGGTAGCGCTTTGGTTAGCGTGCTGCGCTATGAACCCAGCGACCCGAGTTCAATTTCCGCTCACGCCCAAAACCATGACGATTACCTGAATTGGCCCGGGGCCTTCCCAGGTCGACTCAGCCTCAAATAAGTACCTGGTGTGTTGTGTAAACATTGCCACTGGGGAGACAAAGGCGGCCAGGAATGGTGCTGGTAACCTATTCCCTTTGTGTGCCATGCCAACTTTTATAGGGGCTACTTGCCCTAACAGTCTGTTAAGGCTACATCCTTGCATGGCAAAGGCTGAGGTGCCATGGATTTCCTCGCATTCCTCACCCACCCCGCCCTCCTTCCCAGAACAGTCTTCCCAGGAAAGTGTAAATTGGTATTTTTGTTATTTTCTTTGAACTTTACCGAAAGACCCAATAATATGTAAATTGGTATGCAAAGAGGTTGCCCGTGATAGGTCGAAAACCCCAAAAAATAAACCCGTGATATACAAGGGTCTACTATATGACATTTGTGCAGAACTGCCCTGGACTGAAACTACAATTGGGCATTGCAAGCTTCTTCTCTGCAGGTCTGGCAAGCTGAATATTCATTATCTGGAAATCAGTGTGGTCAAACGTTAGATCTTCGTCCAATCCAGCAAAGATAATCGTTTAGTCCATGTTGTTGTAATAATGTTCCGTATTGCAACCTGTTTAAAATCACCACCCTCCCTCAGGACCTTCCTTTTGAAATCCATTATGCCCGGCACTAAAACTGCTCTTAGACTGTGGGTTGCCCAAGCCGTGCAAATGTCACAAATCACAATATTCTGGGTTCACATTTTATCACCAGATGGTGCACCAGCCAACCACTGACAGAGTGTAGTTACTTCCTGGAATATTTAAGGCATAGCAAAAGCAACAAATACATATACACAAACACACACATTAAATACACAAACCCGTGTGTTA